TTTGTGTTCTGTACATGAAGTTTTGTACTCTTATACAACGGATGAGTCTCGGTCAAGTTGTATGCATGAGAGATATTTTGCTCTATTTACAACTGAGAGTTCGTCATAAATATTTTCATACTCAGAGGGTCACAGAGGTGAAACAGTGCCATTACCTTGAGGTGCAATAATGCAACAACATTATTATGATTATACTAAATTATTTCACCCAGCACTGGGTTGCACCAGTTGTTCAAAAATCCAGTTCTTAGTGAGTGATAACTAGCTACAAACACAAGGCACAAACACAAGATACAGCCAAGGCTGATGGGATTTTATTAGTTCTTAAAGATAAAAATATTGACCCTAATGATGAATCAAAATGAAAAAGGGAATCGCCAAAGTTGATAATGTTCATCTTCAGGGATTAATAGCAATCGGTGCAGTGGTTGTTGAGATGTTTCACTAAAAGACAAAAATGTCCACCTCATGGTGGCGCTAGAGGAAAAGTCAACAAACCATCAACCAACCAACTGACTAACAAACTGACATCTGTAAAGCCATGATTCTAGCATGCCTTAAAAAAGTTTAAAAGGGCCAAGTCATATGTTGAACTTTAATGCCAATCAGTGATTGACTTTGTTTTATTATTATTTGCACACATATATGTGTTTTAGAATTAACAGTATTTATGCAGTTTAAAATGAGATTACACCAGACTGATGTTATATCTTATTTAGTCTAACATTACTTTTACTCCTCATCTAAACGGCTCATATTAGAAAGCTAATGCTGCTTTTGTGATTTGGTTCATTTAGCTGCACAACAGTAAACATTCAGTAGCAACTTATCTCTGAATAAGAAGTAGTTTGTATGTTGCAAATTAAGTGATTCGTAAATCTCCACTCAACAGGAAAAAGAGGCACAACTTAGGAAATGGGTTAAAAGTCTATTTCATTCATTCATTCTTGATTTTTTTTTTATTATTCAAATGGTTAGAAAAGAGAGTGGAGATTATAGAAAAAGCTTCAGAATAGCAGCAAGTGCTGTTAAATGGCCTTCTATGTTTTTCAGAGGTTTTACTTTTTGAGGAATCAGTAGAGAAGCTGTGCGACTTGAATGTAATGTTAATACACACGGGTTGTAAACTGGGGCTATTACTACGCTAGGTTTGGATTTTCTGAATAGCTGGTGCACTCTGCTCATGAACATGCTCTGATACAAATGAACTACTTTATTCTGCTCTCAACACTTTTTTAATGTAATGTACGTAACTCACATCTAAAGTAGAAGAGTTGTCAGAAGTTTTATAGTAAACATACAGTATATTGCAAAAGGAAATTATTGTCATCAAAATCTTGCAGGTTTACACATTTACCACAGGTGAAGCAGCCCAGTGAGTATGTTGTAAATCTTAAATTCAGGGTATGAGCATTCATCTTGGAGATTAAATTTAGTTTTCATTCATCACTGCCTCTTTCTACTTCCACTGGAAAAATGACATCTGCCCATTATGTTGTATATCTGGACTGATCATCAAGGTGTGAGGACGTCATGGACGGTCACATGCTCACTTAAGAATATTTTCCGTGCTCCTCTGACTCTCAGGGTTCAGACACAGGCCACTTTGGATCCCTCTTTAATGCACTTCAAAACCTGAGGGGGTCAGTATAGCTCACATCTAGCTTTCTCTCTGTGTGATTTATAGCGTGTCCCTCTGAGAAATCTGTGTGTCTTTACAGTACAGAAGAATGCATACACACTCACCTGAAACACCTCCATTTGCACAAGTTGAACTGTTGATTTAATGTCATGAATGGCAGTTTTGCAGAAATGGAAACATCCTTGTGTGGTTCATGATTTTAACTGAATGATGTGATGCAGAATCCAGTGTGGTTACCTGCTTAGTTATAAACATGTAAGATAATGATAACAATGTCATTTCAGGGTTACAAACTGTGCAGTAAAAACCTCGAGCCTCCCAGTTTTCCCTCCCTCTTGTGTTCAATATGTTTACTCTAAACACGCCTCGTGATCCCCCTTTATGAGACACTGGTTGGTATTGACATGATTCTCCAGCCTGTTTGTGACCTCATGCTCAGTTATTATCTCTTCTGTCTCTCCGCTCCTGTGTCTTTTCTCTGTCATGTACCTTCAATGAATCCGACAGCCTCATTCATGTATTTATTCAGTCATTCATTCTCCACACAGTGAGATTAACACATCACATTAGCTGTGGATGTTGTATCATCCTCACACCTACAGTATCTCCTGCTCCTACACGTTTGTTTTGGGCTCTTTTTTTTTATGTGAGATAGCTCCTCACTGAGAGGGTGACACTGTGATCACGGATGTCATACGACACACGCTGTATTCTCCAAGACAGCAGAAGACTCGCTCGCCCATGTGACTACTGCCTCAAGGTTAACCTGTTACCATGGAGACAAGCCCGCCAATGAAAATTCAGCAGACGGTTGCGATGTTGACTGCAAGCTTTTTGTTTTAAGGGGTGACCTATTTTTTTTTTTTTTTTTTTTCTCCCACCCCCCCCGTCCACAGCTACTCAGACGCAGACCCCGCTACTCTGGCACATGTGCACGTGCATGCAGACATTCACACAGATAAAAGAAACATGGGAAGGCCACTCAGACACACACACACACACACACATGCACATACACACTGATACTCCATGTGAAATGAGGTTGTAAGATTGTACACAAAAGAAGCAGCCTTAGATATAAAAATAATATAAGAAAATCAGACACTTTTCTTAATTTGACCCAAAGAATATAAGTATATAAATATGATTTTTCTTTCCTCTGATTGGACTGAAGACATAAATCTACAGGCAGCTTTTGAGATCGGAAGAAAAGGTTTAAACTAAAAAAAGAGTCTTTGTTACCGCTGTAGTAGATGGCAAAGTGAACTCTTAGGCTTAAAAGAAGTTCATCACCAGCGTCACCCAGCGAATTCTGCTTTCTCTCCATTTTAATAACTGAGACTATGAGATAAAACATATTTTTTTAAAGTGCCACTTTATTACAAAAGTATAAACTTGACTGACATTTCATGAATAGTAATCTTGATATAAAACATTACAATCTTTTGCACTTAGCACTTAATTACACGCTTTTCGAGTACAAGACCCTGTAGTCTGAATAGCAAACACACAACATTAGCTGCCACATTTAACTTAGCTGGGTTTCTCCAAAAAAAAAAAGAGAGAAAAAAAAAAAAAAAAACACACCGTAGCTTCATGGCTTCAAAAAACAACAAACAAAATACACTGAAATTTACATTGCAGCTGTTTTGCAGTTTGTGTCACAAGAGAAGTCATTCCAAAACACAATTAAACATAATAGAAAAAGATAGATTTCTTGACACTGATGATATATTTATTATTCTTTCTCTTTTGTAATGTACATACACGTTGCATCAACATACAGTATAATCACATTGTTTGCTGGGGATATTTGGTCAAATGAACTCATCCTCATATTGTCCAGGATTTGGATGTAATTTGTGTGTGTGTGTGTGTGTGTGTGTGTGTGTGTCTGTGTGTGTGTGTGTGTGTTATCCTCTGCTGCTTATCGAACCCTTTGCTTCACATTTTTGTCATTTCTGCAATATTTTCAACACTGATAACAGAGAGAGGAGAGAGAGTATTCATCGATGGAGTGATGACGAGACATGACATTTGCTAATACACATCAGTTCTACTTTAGCTTTCCGAGCTGCACTATGGTGAAACCCAAGCAGATTCATATGACCACAAGGCAGGGACTATGAAGATGAACGCTCCACAGATATGAGTGAGGACTGAGCAGAGGGGAGGGGTGAGGGAGGTGGGGGGGCTGTGTGGGGCGGTTGAGTGGACTGTCTCCACGTTTTAGGACTCGAGCAGTTCTCTTTAGTCTTGTTTCGTGTGTGTGTGTGTGTGTGTGTGTGTGTGTGTGTGTGTGTGTGTGTGTGTGTGTGTGTGTGTGTGTGTGTGTGTGTTGCACAGTGCAGGAGGAGGGAAAATTAACACTCCTCTCTGCTGCACAGAGTCCCACTGAGCCAAAGACAACCTTCATCTAACTGGCTTTGTGCTCTACAGAGAAATAAAGCAACACACTGAAAAAAAAAAACAACCAACGACAATAGAAAAGAAAAAACATTCATATAGAGGTACCACATGACAGTGCTTGATTTTTTGTTTTTTTTTTTCACTTTTTTTTAGCATGCAACTTGTAGCAGGCAAAGTGCAGAAACAGGATCAACAAAGTAAAACACTTCATTTACAGACGGCAGTGGAGACAGTGTTCAGTCCATGTAAGATGAAACGAAACATGACAGAGGGAAGTATCTGGTTGTTTTTCTTTGAATATGAAAATGGTCTAAATTAGTTGAAGCCTTTAGGAGGAATGCAAAATGTGTGCAATTTTTCTTTATAATACTCTCATAATTGTTTCTCTTGGTCCCTGAGCTTTCAAGTATTTTGATTAGTAATTCATTCCTTTATATCTTTTAAATTCCGTCCTGAATCACATCTTGACCAACTACAGGGAAGGCCTGTTCATGACAGACTTAAGTGCTACCAAAAGATTTCACACGACGCTGTGCCTTTTCCCCAAATAAAAGTCCTGCTCGGACCAGATAAATTACTATTTTTACCCGCTAGAATTGAGGAAGAATTTAGGCTTTTTACTTTATTGTGCTTTGCACATATGTACCAGTAAAATAGAAGTGCTACTGTTACCAACAGATTGCTCTGCAATAGTCTTGTGCTCATTTATTATTCACTACCTTTGGATTCCTTATAAGGTTTATAGATTGGACTTTATAGTCAGCCCAGGTCATAACAGGTCAACATTATTGCCCCAAGGCCTCTGGAGCCTGTGACAGGCATGATGTTATGACTTGAATGTAAACAGTATGTATGGGAGAGCATGACAGGGGCTCAGCCGTCACTCCTTGTGGTGTTAGCTCAGCTCCTTGTGTTGGAAGGATAGGGGGGTCACAGTGCAGCTGCCGCCTCAGAGCCCTGTTACATACATCTCCATGCCGTCGTTGAAAGTGAAAATGGTGGTGGTGCTGGAGGTGGCGGAGCCCTGCTTCAGGTCGCCGATGCTCTCGTACAGATTCTCCCCTGGCAACAGCAGGGCTTTGGCAGGCAAGTGCTGTAACTTGGGGGTCTGCTGCGTTGGTGGCGGTGGAGGGGGCTGCTGCTGCTGCAAGGGCTGCTGGGTTTTCTTCCTTCTCGGCCGCAGGGTGGCACACGTGTTGGGGGGCCTCTCTCGCTTCCAGCCGCCTCCACCTTCCATGTTCTCATAGGCTGGATCGCACTCCTCTGTCCCGATGGACTCATAGCAGTGGTCGTCAAGGGGCCCTCCAACTGCTTTGCCCTCCTGAGGAGCCCAGGTCTGGGGTTTGACCACTACACTAAATCCCCCATCCCGGTCTCGGTCACGGTCACCACGACCCAAGGTCCGGAAGCCAGGATTGGCTGGGGGAGACCCCGGCACAGCTCTTTTCTTCTTTCCTGGTTTGCACACCTTCGAGTACATCTCAGCCACCTGCAGTCAAACAACACAAGACTGAGATTATGGACTGTAAAAAAAGTCTTTCAATGAAGAGTTCAACATTCTGGGAAATACACTTATTAACTTTCTTGCTGAGAGTTGCATGAGAGCCCCCACTCTCACATCTGTCCTTTACGGAGCTGCAGCTGACAGATGTTTATCTTAATTTAGCAAAAAGATCAGAGTGAACCATTGAAGTGTAAAAACAATGCATTGTTGCTTGTTGTGGAAATCACTACTCTCCACCAAGAATTAGTCCTGCACATAATCGCCTAAACAAAGGACACATGATGTGTTAATTTGTGATCTTTAGAGGTGCGAGTAGGCAGACTTTCTTACCTTTGGACAGAGCTAGGTGAGCTGTTTCGCCCCATCTCCAGTCTTTATGCTAAGCTAAGCTAAGTGGCTGCAGTACCTTCATAATTTAATGGACAGACATGAGAATGGTATCAATCCTCTCATCTAACTCTCAACAGCAGAGTGAATAAGCATATTTCCTCTCTTCACTGTTCAAACCCAAAAAATTTTATTCTCAATTCTAGTGAAGATAAAATGTTTTCAAAGATACCAAATCTGTCAAGATGAATTCTATTGGAAATGTGTGTAAAATGATGAATTTCCATTCCATGCTATTCAGCCAAAATAAAAACACGTGTATTTGAGACATTTAATCTGACCTCAGTTTGTTCCTCTTAATAAATGGATGTAATAAATGCATTATTTTTGTATGACAATATTACATTTTAGAAAATAGCACCAATATAGACAAGTAATAAATTATAATAAAGCTTTTCAATTTTGGTACATGTAAAAATTTAGACGTCACATTTTCAGCTAGAATTAAGAGATAGAGTTACAACTTGGAAAATGTTTTTTATTGCAGTAGACATAATATTTTTTTCATTTAAACGGTTAGAAGAGAGATTCTCAAAAATACCTTCAGCACAGCTGTATGTTTGACCTGTTTTTTTTTTTTTTTTTTAAAGATCACCAGGTATTTATTTATCATATGTAAAAATGCTTTGTCTAATATTAAAACTGCTTAATAGTAAATTTAAAGGGTGACATTGGGAATAAGGAGAATGTAACAAAACAAGAGACAGGTTGATGCACAGGCTGAAGAGTCCCCGCTCACCGCAGCAGCAGACGGTTGTATATTCTCCACTGTGTGAGCACCCAATGGGCCCAGGGCTTTATTTTGCAGCATGAGCATGTCATCATCCTCCGGAGGCTTCCAGATGTACTGCTCTCCGTTGCCCATAAACATCACTTCCTGTCAACAGAACAACAAATTACATCTGGGGCAGAGCTGGTCACGTGTTCATGCATGATGCTGACAAACGAGCATCTGCGAATTTAAAAACTGCATTTTCAAAACAGACCTAACAGAGCTCACAGAAAACAAATGAGCCACTTTACAATTGCAAAAGTGCTGGAGCACAGAGCTGGCATTAGAAGTGTGCTGGACCGACTTCATACAGTATTGGATAGATTTTCCCTGGAAGGTGGAGCTTGTAACGTGAGGAACCATGTGCTCATATTCTGGGTGACTCAGTTTCAACATGTTGCGTCATCCACAAGAAAATCAGTGGTGAACAGCCCTGCGAGCAGACTGCATACACATGTAAGCCTGTGAACCGCGCGTGTTACTGAACTCAGGTCACAGCTGATAGCGCGACCTCGCTGACCTCACACAGGGCAGCAAATGGTCTCCCACTGTCACCTGGAAGGGAAGCGCAGGGCCTTATACCCACAGTAAAAGCAGACAGTCTGCCTACACTCCTTCTGCTGCGAACATATGGAGGAGGTGACACTGCTGACAGCAGAAAAACCCCGCTATCTCCGAGAACTCTTTGACAAATAAACACAACTCGTTGCCCAGACTTCAAAGAAATTTCTACAGAAGTGCTAACGCATCACAACAGTATGCATGATGTAGCCGAGTGCAAAGAAAACTGCAACACTGGCACAATTACAACTGCAGATCAACGGGAAGTCTGACAAACACTCTCCAGATCCTAATCACTGTACCTGGACTACAAAATGTATATTAACATGTCACACTGGAGAATCTGTTACACATGCCCGGAGAAACCTGAGCATAACTGTCAGAACAGAGGGACCATTCACACCTGATGGGTCAAACAAACTCCCACACGATGTGACTTTAAAAAAAACACTCCTCGTGACGCCAGTGTCATCTTCTGCTCCAGGCAGACCTCTGGAGAACCACTGGCGACCCGACTTAGCTGTTAACTTCCTCTCCCCCTCCGGCCCTCACTCCTTCCTTCAATTCCTTCAGCAAATAAAACCAACCACTGAGGTGTTGCTGTCAAGGCTTATTGCAAAGGAAGTGTGTGGCTGTTACCTTTTGTCTGAGTGGAATCAAGGTCACCAACATTATGTGAGAAAGGTATCCCTCTTTTCCACAATATATGTCATTTTTATTTGGTAATCAGGTCACATTCATTGCTAACAGCCCTGTGGTTGGGACACATACCATGTGGCTGCAAAACTCCCAGTTTCAGTTGCTTTAGAAGTGTTGGTAGGAGGATTTTCTTACCTTTGGACAAGCCAGGCTAACTTGTTCCCTCTATTTCCAGTTTTTATGCTAGGCTAATCTAGCTTCATATTTATCATACAGACATGAGAGTGGTGTCAATCTTCCCATCTAACTCTCAGCGAGAAAGCATTATAGGGATCATATTGCATAAAGTGAGACTTCCATGCCTTTTCTGATTATAAAGCAGGTCTACGTTCTATATAAATGCTGTGAAAGTAGCTCAGTCCACAAAGAAATGTGTACAGCCCGTATTCAGCAACTGAGCCTTCAGGACTTCCTGTAACTTTGTGATGTCACAGCAAAGTAGGCACCGTCCTCAGCCATGCCCCAAGCCCCGCCCATCCGGATCCACTATCCAGCCTTGCTGGATTTGGTTTCTCTGAGTGTTTACCTGAAATCTGCTATATTTTTATTTGACCACTCAGAAAAAAGTCAGCCAATCAGAAGAAAGGCTCAGAGCCTCCTCTCCTCTGATTGGCTCACAGCCTGTTGTTACTAGATCTCAGGAGGGGAGAAGCCTAGAGAGGAGATGTAAAAGTACATTGAGATGATTTTCTCTTCTAGTGGCTCAACATTTAACATTCATATTTATTTAAATAAAACACAGGAAAAGAGTAAAATATGGGACTTTTCCCAAATTGTCAAACTATTCCTTTTCACCATCAGATCAAAAAGATAAATTTGTCTGTATGCAAAACATTTAAATCTACCAACCTTTGGGAATGATGGGACGTTAAAGGCCTCCACATTTCTACGGGGCAACTTTGTGCTATGAGGGTGTGGCGGAGGAGGGGCGGGATGTGACGGCGGGGCATGTCGAGGAGGCGGTGCCGGTGGCTCCGCCATATCCGTCCCGCTGTCCCTCTTTTGGGGCGCCTTGTCGGCCTTCCTCAGCTTCCTGACACAGGCGTACTCAGCCGTCTCTGGAGGGTGAGGGGGAGACATGACCTGGGCCTCAGGTTCAGGCAGCCCTCCTTCCACGTCCCCATCTGGGTCTGGTGGCGCCGGGGTGTTGGCAGGCACGGCCGGAGGGGCCGGAGTGTCCGTCTGCCCGGCCCTGCCTACCATGGCGTAGAGGGCATCGTCAGTACGTGTGGTGGAGGAGCGTCGGCCCACTTCAGAGTAAGTGTGCTCCCCATCCTCTCCAGTCCCAGAAGGGATCTGGGGAAGCTGCCTGCCTTGAGAACGAAGGTCAGAGTTAGACCAGCGGCTGGGCAGCAGCAGAAGCTCCAAGCTGGCTGGATGTTTTTTTGGGGGTTTTTTTTGTATTTGCCCACCATAAAGCAGAATTCACATACGTTTACTCCCCTTGGACTGAACAGATCTGACACCATTTGTGAATATGAATCAATCTCTCACTGGTGAAAGAAAATCTGGAGCTGACAGCAAACTGGGAACTGACGTAGACATTTGAGAATATGCATCCAGATTGGCTTCAGTCCACTGCAGTGGAAGCAGGACAAGTATGAAGCAGGACATATGCTTATATTTCTTCAAACCCTCTCAGGCTACTGTCACAGTGCCCACAAGCACAGATCCCTGTTGACTGTCATTGATGGAGCTCCAGGATTAGTCTTGGCTCTGTGATTTCTGTCTTTAAGAGAGAGATGCATGCTCACAAATCGAGACTGAACAGTCCAGTGGAATAAGGCTGAGTTGTAATCGCAATGTGAATCCTGTTTTAGGGTAAATTTCTCCTCTTAACTGCCCTCGAACTTTATTGCAGAGAGGTCTTTTTGTGAATTTAGGGTCACATCAGATACTGATAATGTGGAGAAAATGTGTGCAGTGGCATTTATTTGTATTATCAGGGGTTGGTAATGTTGCTTTTGTGGACTCTGAGCTTGGTTTTAATTAGAGGATGAAGCTAAATCCAAACATGCCACAATTTATTTGTGGATAATTGTTCCATTTATGCATTCACTTGTCGCAACATTGATGTGCTGCAAAAAAAAAAATTCAAATTGATTTTCCGTTTTTGCCATTTCAATATTGTGGCTGCTGTTGGGTGGAAACCTTGTAGCTCCACTGTTTCTGATGGTCATGCTCACAAATAAGATGACAAATTACATGCTGCACATGTGGTTAGGGTTCAGAAAATTCCACAAATATCCCCTTCAGTGATGCAAAAATTGCTTTGTCATGCAGCTAAAACGAGTGCAGGCTGTTTAGTTCCAGAAAAGCTGATGTTTAGGAGATACAAGGTTTTCACCTCACAGCAGCCTGGTACTGTATATAGAGAACACAGGGCAGATATATGAAAGATGCACTCACTTTTGCCATTGCAGTTCATCTTGTTCATCTCAGTGTCTGATTTACTGATGGACCGCAGCTTCGACTGCCTGAGTATACCCTGACAACACACACGCACACACACACACACACACAGACGCACACACACACGAAGCTGGTTAAACACTAATTAAGACTGAAGAGGTGTCCTCTGAATGATATTGTTCCCTGCTGAATTGAGTTGCTTCAGCTACCTCTGCTGCAATGCAAACAAAACACGGAGGAGTGTGTTGCCTGATACCTACCATGTCCATGAGACGGTGTTTTCCACCTTCGCCGGGGACATTGTGTGTCTTCCCCTTCCTGTGGTAAACACAAACACTCTGTCATACAGATTGACACTTACTACACTGATGCACTTCTGTGTGTGTGTGTATGTCTGTGTGTGTCTGTGTGCGTGCAGAGTTTCTGTCTGAGTCATTGTCCATGTTTGGCTGAGTCATCTTATGACTGTGCACATGTGAGCGAGACATTAAGAGTACATCTGCATATGTGGCACGGCCACGGCCGGTGAGTAACTAAGTACATTTACTCAAGTACAATTTTACTACTATTTTCTTTATTGGTCACTTTTCAGATTTTACATTAAAATCATATGAAAAGATAATAAAACGAGATTACAGATAACAGATTGTTAAAGATTAAACCAGTTGTTCCAGCCTTCTTGGCTGATGACCTCTAATGAAAAATCTGTATCTAGTTAAGGTCTAGTTGTCATGTTCCATATGTTTTTCAGTTGTTAGTGCAAGATTTCCTGTCCAGGTAAAATGACTTTACAATAATTTATTTCATGCTTCACAATTAGTGAAAAATGCCAAAAACAAATGCAGATCTGTACAGCATAACTTTGTTTTTTCTTCTTTCCTCCCACATGAATCATCTCATGACCCCTCAGTTTTATCTTGTGACCATTTGGAGGAGGCTCCATTGATGCATCAGTATTAACAATCTAATAATGTCATAATGTCAATAAATCAGTCACAGGGGGCATTTTACTGCAGAACAAGTACTTTTACTTTAGATACTTACTCTAGATACTTTAGTAAATTTTCCTGATAAGAATTGAATGCAGGATGTTGGTACTTGTAGAGTATTTTAACATTAATGAATTGGTACTGAGTGTCCTGCAAATGCAAATATACATGTGTGTATCTGTGCATGTATTCGTGGTCATACGTGCACGCTCTCACCTCTGGCAGCCCACACAGAGCACCACGATGAGGATTGTAACAACAAAGGCTGAGGCAGCAGCGATAGCACCCAGCAGCAGGACCTTGCCGTAGGGAGGAGCCGTGAAGTTCAGCCCGTCCTGCATGGAGGCCATGTGGGAGCGCTGGCGCTCACTTGCTCTCACACACTCACACTCACACCCTTACACTCATGCACGCATGGAAGTGCCACGGTCTCACTGGGATCTGCAGCGAGAAGGCACAGAGTGGTGCTTAATTACAAAATTATCTGACCTTTACAAAACATTAAGTAGGTTAACAAAGCAGTGGAACCAGAAGTAAAATATTCACGGTTCAGATGGCAGAAGGAAAGCAACAGTTTAAACAGAGGAGACGTGAGAATTCCTGTCCAGCGCTGAAGCAGTGAAATGCAGAGACATCAACGCCTCAGGCATGTGCTTCTGCTTTACCTTGTTTGAGGGATTACTGAGCTTTGTGTGTCACACTTACATAGATATCAACAGTATACCTGCTCACCAGTAAAGACCTTCAGGCATCTGGGTTTACATACCATAAATTTGAGCTAAAGCAATCCAACAATCCTACACTGAACAAAAGTTTTATGACTGAAATAACAGAAAAATGAAATATCTAAAGGCTGGTCTGGTTTGTCAGAAAGCTGCTACTGTGCATATGGGTAAAAATGCATTTCCTATGGTTTTAACTATTTCAACAAGAGCAAACATACATATTGAGAAAGTACAATGAGTCACAGCAAAACTGAACATGCCAGCAGGCAGAGTAACCTGAAACTCTGACAGAGTGAAGTGTGAAAGCAGAGCGAATAGGCAGAAGCATCTTTCCTGCTCCTTCTCTCTTGCCGCTTGCCAGACAGTTTCACATTTGCCAGTATAATATGTTTCAAATAAGCAACAAAAACACAGAGAAGACCAAACAAACAAGCCTGTTCTAATCTCTGTCAAACCATGCCATCTGTCCACTGTGCCAGTGTTTTTTCATGTGTTCATGTGTGTTTGTCGCTTGTCCATCTTAACAAGACTGAACGTCAGACTGCAGGAAACATACCCTTCTGATTTTGTCCCAAGTTTGTGGATGATAATGTTTTAGTGTCTGTATACAGTATGTCTGTCCAGATGTCTCTCATGTATATATTTGGTTTATAACCACAGATTTTCTTCCAAACAAAAACACTCACTGGTGGATCTTTCTGTAAACTTTGTGTGTCTGCATCCTCCTCGCTCATGATCAAATCGGACACTTTAAACAACAGGCGTTAGTATTGAGTTCCACATAGATGCTTTCCATCCAGACAGAATTTAATCTTCGCAGTTCAAATTACTTTAACAATTTGTCTGTAGTCTGGTGAACAATCTGTTTGAAGCCAACATGTGAGTCTGAGGCAGCTCAAATAATTTAGCTGTAGCTTCGTATTGAAGTGATCTGTAATGTTAGTGAGGCTTAATGAGGATTCAAGCAAACCAAGCATGAATTGCTGGTACGCTCTTCTTCACTCATCCCTCTTCATCCTCACTGAAATGATCTGTCCAGGACCTCGGGTTTTGGTCTGATGATGCTTTAATATAAAAATCCCAGACACTAAAATTCACCCACTGACATTTATAACAAAATTATACTAATAATCTAGACCAGTACTTCTTAAAGTGGGGTCCTTGAAGGGGTTACTGTGGGTGCCAAGCAAAAAGGGGAATAATTCATTTTCAATATAATTCCATTCACAAGTAACACAATGACAGAATATATGACAATTTTGGTCATTTTACACTTTCTGTAATAAAACATCTAAACACAAAGATCTTATCAGTTGGGGGTCCATGTGTCAGTTCTTGATCCTTGGTCCTTGAAAATGTTTGAGAGCCACTGATCTAGTCTGTAGCTGGATCTCCTGACGTAGACCACACCCATCCACACCTGGATATATTTTGTTTCATTTCATTTTGACCGTTAATCCATTTTCTTTCAGCCAACTGTTCAAGCCTATATGTTTTGTACGACATAATTTGCGAAAATCCCTATGTCTTGCCAATGTACACTCACCACGCCCAACACATTCACCGTCCTAAACCTGGCGCACGTCTGACTACAATGCAGCTCTAGTTTTATGTATGTATTTTGAATTAAAAAAAAAAAAGTTCATCGATCCCATCTCCACCGAATGTGTCAACTATGTTTATGATCGTTCTATAACCATAACTACAACCACGTGTTTACTATTGTAACCATGACAACAAACTTTGCTCTAACTTTAACAAAGTCCTTATTTTGGATCAACCCTTGATCTTTCCTTAAACCTAACCAAGTTGTTTTTGTCACATAACAAAAGAGTGATTTCAGCACGGATTTGTAAGTTTATCAGATAAGATGGTGGATGTTGATGTAAAACTCTGACCTGCTGGTGGCATTAGATGAAAAGCCAGCGGATCGTCTTCCAGGGACCATAAATGTCTGAACAAACTTTCACCACAGTGCTTCCTATATAGTATTACTGAACCAGAAAAAAAACACTAACAACATAGAAACTTCATTTCACAGAAGCTACAAAACTACTAAAAGATGAACATGGTGACTTCTCTCAAGACACCTGCATGACTGACATTACCACAGCTCTGTTATAACTGTAATGTCACTGATCAGCCCTTGCTGGTATGATGCAATTATTGATATTTTATCAATGTTTTTCCTGCTCTTTCCTTCTCGTCTCTTTGAAGGTTCCGTCTTCTCTGTAAAAAATACTCACAGCATATTATGTGACAGATTTTTTTACCACATTAGGTATCTGATTTTCTGTTAAACCGACAGTAAAGCTGGGACAGAAGCTTATCACGCTCTGTACTGTGGGAGTTTTGCAAACTTTGAGTAATTTGCATTTCTTTTAGTAGATCCAGTCATGAACCCAACTGTTCTCTGTGTGAAACCCAGTTTGCACCAGATTTCCTCCTGACTCCTGACCAGAGAAAACGGCTTTGTTTCCTAATTCAAAATTAAACCCATGTTTATTAATATTAACACAATGTATCAATAAGTCATATTTTTCAATAGTGGATATCCAACATAATTACTGACTTAAGACAGTGATTACAGCAGAGAAGGGGTTTGCTCAGCATGTCTGTAAAAGTATTTTGTGTATTTTAACAGCAAACATGTCGAACATGATTTACAGTGACTTGGTTTTAATGCCGCTAATTCCTCCACCAGTGCTTCACCTTCACCAGCACAAGTCCTGATCAATCTGGAGTATTATATGGGATTTAAAGAACCATATGCACCTATGAAGCAATTTAATTCACAGCTGCAACAGTGTCAGTGTAATTATATCTGTGCTGATTTGACAACAGAGCCGAGGAGTGGAGATGGAGAGAGTAATGAGAGAGAAGAAAGGGGAAAGGTGTAGGTGTGGAGGAAAATAAAGGGAGAGAGAGAGAGAGAGAGGAGGAAGACATGCGTGGGAGTCTTGTGGCAGGTGTTTGAAGACGCTGAAAGCAGATGATGAGAAGAGGCTGTCACATTTCCCAACAAGGTTTCCCGGCCTTTCTTCCCTGTGTCACTGAGTGTGTCCATACCTCCCCACCCATTATTCTCTCCCTCTATCCCCCCTGCCTCCGCCTGCGGTGCTCAGCCAGAGTGACGCCTCAGCACTGCAGTGTAATCTCTGGCCCTAGAGCTGCCTCATCTGAGCCAACCAATTGGACGTAGTGCTCAGAGCAACAGCAAGAAATGGCCCTCCGCCGGCTGCTTTCCTGCTAAACAAAGCCCCCCCGTCTCCCTCCGCCACAGAACGCCCCCCCC